TTCTTACGTTTACGAGCAGAGGCATACCTGTGATAAAACTTTGTGTTGGCATCAGCCCCCGGAGCCAGTGCTGCTTAGCCCGTTGTCGCCAAAACACATCCTCCTGAGCCTCCACCTGGCCCAGCATTACCTCAATCCGTCGAAATTCAGCCAAAGCAGCTGAATCGCTCCGGTGTCGTAACGCATCATGTTCCGTTCTCAGCCGCTTTATACGGTCACCAAATTTATGTCAGTGCTCCCCACCCCACCGCATAAGCCTACCACCACAATATTGCTGACAATTCAGCAAACCCCTATCCCTTCCATCCTGCCAAGCAGTCTCAACTACCTCCCTGCAACCATCATCCTGAACCCAGGCCATTTCAAAACGAAAGCCCCTCAGTCCCCCTTGTCCACGCAGTGTTGTATCAGTGTTTAGAAACAGCGCCGAGTGATCTGAGTTGCGAGTTCGGACATTCTCAACCCAGCCCCCCCCCCCCCATGCATATCAGTCCATTGTGCCGTTACAAGCACCTTATCCAATCTCTCTTCTATCCATCGATCTGTACCATTTCCCTTCTCCCAAGTAAACTGATGCCCTCTCATCGGTAACTGGATTAAACCACAGTTATCCAACATTTCCCCAAAGCCTCGCAACAGGCTATCCGGATGCGGATTACCCCATCTCTTTTCCTGTTGGTATAGAAGATCATTGAAATCTCCCAGTACTACCCAAGGTAGCGTAGACCTCCCTTTCAAACCACTCAACACCTGCCAGGCCTCCCTCCGCCTATTCCTCTGTGAAAAACCATAAAAGCACGTCATCCGCCATACTTCCCCCCTTATAGCCACTTCAATATCCACATGGTTCTTCGAAAAACTCAACAGCCTAGCAGTGTTATTCCTCCTCCATAACAATGCCAAGCCACCCCCCGTACCCACACTGTCCACATAGAACAAGCCTTCAAAACCAATTTTTATTCGTAACCTCTCAGCATGTGTTCGTCCCACCTTTGTTTCCATTAGGTAGACGAAATCGGGATTTTTTCGAGACACAAGGTCCACAATTTCTCGAACTGTCCGTGAATTGCCCAGTCCACGGCAGTTCCAACTTATCGTACTCATGATTAAGGGCGGGCCTGACTCACAGGAACCGCCGGAAACCCGTTTTTTGGCACCACTGACATGATCACATCACCATCAACCCACCTTCTCCTTTTCAACATCACCACCACCCCCACCGTCTCTCCTTCCCTCCCTCCACCCGAAACCCGCAACCACCGCCCCTCCTTCACTCGAACCCGCCTCCACCACCTTTCCGCCCACACCCCTCACCTCCCTCCCCTTCCCATCTAACGAGACAAGCCACGGCTCACCCACCTGACGTGAGCCCCGTGCTCCCCCCCCCCCCCCCCCCCCCCCTCAACTCATCCGTGTATGGATATTGATCCGGGGTCAACCCCGACCGTCTTGCCAGCTTGCAAAACTTGTATGAATGCCCTAACATACCACAATAGAAGTAGAAGGTATGCAAGCGTTCATACCGAAAATTCACCCAGCAACTTGTCTTGTCCCGTTTGATCAACTTCATTATTCTCTTTAGGGGCTTGTCAACCGGGATTGACACACGAACTCGGTGAAACGTTTTCCACGGTGCCCCAGGAAAACGATCATCCATCTTGACAAAAGTACCCATAAAATTGGCTGCCTGTTCTTAAACCACATCGGATGTATAGCCCACCGGAAGATCATACATTTGGACCCACATGTCCACAGAGGTTAATTCCACATCCCCAGGCCGAACCCCCGCCATAAATTGCCGGCAAACCAGAGTATTGTTATCAAACGACCATGGCCCTTCATCGAGAACCCTTCGCATGTCGGTTTCATCAAAGAAGATAAACATGAACACGCCTGGCCTAATCTCCGTAGCTTGCATACCCCAAACTGGCTGCCATACCGAAGTCATGACTTGCCGCATGTACTCAAGTTTGATCACCTTGGACGTCAAGAAACGCCCCACACAAACCCAAGACCTCTCCTCCTCCTCCGACATCATCACCGACCGGTTCGAACACGTCATCCTCCTCCTCCTCAATCGCCAGGTCCTCCCACATTTGCGTCAGCCGTTCCATGGTTTCGTCCGCCCTTTCACGCTGATCTGCGTCCTCAGCATTCCCTTTGTACTGCGTGGAGTCCATCGTCGACGGTGAAGCCGTCTGCCGTCGCCCAAATAATTCCGGACATGTAAAAAATTTATAAGGACATTCGCAATGTAACAATAACAACAACAACAATGCCAATGACATGTGAAGTAAGTGAAAGAGGGGTGTTGTAGAGGAGTATCAACATTTATCTTTCACTAACTAGCTTGGTTGGCGTGAGTGGCCATACACTTTTGTCTCTTAAGAAAGGTTGGGAGTTCAAAAGGCAAATTTTACTGTGGACCATGGTGCATGTAGCAGTGTGGTCCATGAAGTAAGTATCATTTTAATTACACTTCAGTTTCATTTGATAATATTGCTCTGTTTTTCAGTTTCATTTTCCACGCACACTAGTTTCATTATAGCAATACCAAAGTATCATTTTAATTCTACTATAGTTTCATTTGACAATATACATTATTGCATGAGCTCTATTTTGTAGTTTCATTTTCCACGCACACTAGTTTAATTATAGTAATATTAAAGTAATATTTTAATTACACTCTACATTCATTTGACAATATATGTTATTGTATGACTCTGAATTTTAGTTTCATTTTTCATACACACTAGTTCATTATAACAACACTACAGTATCATTTTAATTATACTAAAGTTTCATTTGACAATATACATTGTTGAATGAGCTATGTTTTTTTAGTTTCATTTTCCACACACTAGTTTCATTATAGTAACACTATAGTGTCATTTTAATTCTACTACAATTTCATTTGATGATCGTGGTCCACCTAGCATTGTGGACCATGGTCCACTGTATAACAACTGGAGTTCGAATTCTTAGCAAATTATGCTTTGGGCAAGGTGGACACGGTTCCAAAACGGCGTTGTTTTAGTGGAAAACGACATCGTGTCAATTAAAATATAAATTTGCTTTCTTTCGTCGTTAACGGCGTTTGTCTTCAAGAAGTCTATGTTCATAATTACTGAACTCAATGTTCATAATTACTTAACCTTTATTATTACTAAACATATGCTTTATCAACTACTCTAACTCGCTTCTGGTTAACATTTAGTAGTTTTTTTATACTAATACTAAAACATGTACTATATATACATATATACATACAAAGACTATATATGGGGTGGGGGTGGGGGTGGGGTGAGGGGGCAGCTGCCCCCCTTTGACTCCGTGCCTGGTGAATATAGAGTTCAATAATTGTGAACCAAATTATCTTTCACTCCTAGTAATTTCATGACATCAGATGGGTAATAAAAGCAAAGCCTCAAGGCTCCTCTTTCTTGATTCCACATTGGAACCAGGGACGGAGCCAGAAATTCGGTTGAGGGGGGGGGGCAAAACAGTACAGACGGATTCAGAAAATTTTTTCAGAAAAGGCGAAACATTAAAACAAAAGAGATAATTTAAAAATAAATAAATAAACTACATAAGAAATATAATTGTAAATATTGTTGGATATGGACGAAAAATAAAACACATCGAAACTTTATAAAAATATTCATAACAAAATATGAAACATAATTAATAAAATAATTTGAATAGAAAACACATTATAAATTACACATCTTATTAGAGTGTGTGTGTAATAGATGCTAGATTGGAACCCTTCACCTCATTATTATGAAAAATGTGCTCTACCACCTACTCTAACTCAATTCTTGTTAATATTTTATAGTTTTTTTATACTAATACTAAAACATGTACTATATATACATATATACATACAAATACTATATATGGGGTGAGGGTGGGGTGAGGGGGGCAGCCGCCCCCCGCCCCCCTCTCCCTCCGTCCCTGATTGGAACCCCTTTGTTTCTTGATTTCACATTGAAAGCTTTCTTGATTCCACATTGGTACCCCTTTGTTTCTTGATTCCACATTGGAAGTAAGTGAAAGAGGGGTGTTGTAGAGGATTATCAACATTTATCTTTCACTTCTAGTAATTCCATCGGATAGGTAATAAAAACAAGCCTCAAGGCTCTTCTAATTGGCCATCTCCTACTCATTATACTAAATTCTACACCAAAAGAAATATTCCTAGCATATTTATATACCAAATTTTATTCACCTCCAACCCATTATATACCAAATTCTATTTCTACATTAAAATAATTCATTTTCTCATAAATTAACGTTTTAAATTTTATATTAAAAAAAATTAAACATATAACAACTATTACATTTAATTTTCAAAATTACCATATCGTTCCCATAAAAAAATTTACATTTAATATCGTGCAACGCCAAATATGGCGCTACATGTAGACCAACGCCAAAATAGCGCAAATTTGGCGCCTTCATTGGAGAAGGTTCAAAGCCAAATTGGGCGCCATTTTGACGTTTGGGGCCATTTTGGCGCTAGCTGGCCTTAGGAGCCTTTTAGTAACCCGCAAAGTCAACTTGTGTTCTAAGAGTTTTTTTCCTAAAATGACATACCTCCAATGCGGCTAAAATCCTAGAAGGAACATTTGGAATTTCAGCAATTCGAAGCAAAACTCATGTTCCAAATTGATGATTAACAAACATTATATTTCACATTTTGATTTGGTCAAAAGATTAAATGTGGTCAAATTTGTCAAATATTGATCGATCGGTCATTAACCAAACAAGGCCAATAACACATTTTGGTTGGTAAATGAACCCAATAATAGTTTGATTTTAAATTAGTCGGGATTTAATGTAAATATAGTGTATTAGAGAAATATGGAACCAAATTTTTTAAAAATATTGGGATTTAAATGATTTTTTTTTCATAAAATAAATCACAAAAAGAAAATAAAAAATTAATAACTGACTGAGAAAGAGGCAACACTGCAACAGAATGAGAAGAGAATGGATCTTTTTTATAACATGAGAAGGGAAGGGGCTATGGCGAGTCTGAGCAAGGGAACAAGATGATGAAAATGCTGTCAAGAAGCACTTCTGCTCCAACCTTGAAATCCATATGGGATAAAGGCCCTTCTTCTTCACCAGACCTCAGAACCAAAACCTCTCCATTTTCTTTCTCTCCCCACCACCCTGTAACGATCAAGAAAACCCTCTCCAGAACTGTTTCTGGGCTTCATCTCAGAGGCACCCCCACGCCCACGCCCACGTCCAAGAACAAGCCTTTCCACAATGGGTATTCTCAATTCGTGTCAGAAAATCAAGAAAACGGTTCTGATATGAGTTTGGGGATGATGAGTATGAGCGTCAGTTGGAAGAGAGATGCTGCATTGGATGAGAGATGCTCTGCTCCGGTGGATGACAGTGGAATCAGTGGCGGCGGTAGCGGCAGTGGCGGTGGAGGCTGTAATGGCAGGGGAGGTAGCAATGGCAATAATTATGGTGGAGATGGAGGAGGTGAGAATGGGTGGTTTGAAAGTATTGATGAATACTATCAGAAAATAATCCAAGATAATCCTCACAATCCCCTCTTCCTTGGAAACTATGCCAAATTCTTGAAAGAGGTAACTATTTTCTCCATTGAAACCATTTTCCATGTGTATAGTTGTGATATTTAAAAGGATTTTGTGAATTGTAGGTGAAGGGTGATTTTGTGAAAGCTGAGGAGTATTGTGGAAGGGCAATACTGGCAAATGCAGATGAGGGGCATATCTTTTGCCTGTATGCTGATCTGATCTGGTGTTTATATAAAGATGCTGCTAGGGCCAAGTCATATTATGAGCAAGCTGTGAAAGTTTCTCCAGATGATTGGTAAAATTCTTCCACCATTTTCTGTTTTTCCAAATTTTCACATGATTGGTAATTTATATTTTCTGCAATGATGCTTAGGAGTGAAGTGAATCACATTGTAATAGAGAGTAATTGTTCTATGGAGAAGTAATTTCTGTGCAGTAATTCTTATAATCTGCTGGATTTCAAACAATGTAAAGTGTGTTAAAATTGAGCATTTTCCATTGTCTTTGTTTTTGTGGGTTGGAGTTCCAACTAGTAATCTGTTATGGTAATGATTCAATTTGCAGTTATGTATTTGCTTCGTATGCTCACTTTCTCTGGGTTGCTGGTGAAGACGGCGAAGAAGAAGAGGATGAGAAAATGCTTAGAAGGTAGTAACATCATAAGTTTCATTCTTTTTCCCTCACACACTATATAGGCATCTCTTCAATCCACACTAACCAAGTTATGTTGATTTGTTTTTGCATGCCTTTATATTTGCAGTGATGTACTTGCTTCGTATGCTCGCTTTCTCTGGGAAAATGAAGACGAAGAAGAAGAAGAGGATCAGCAAACTGAAGAAAACGAAGACGAAGAAGAAGAAGAAGAAGAAGAGGATGAGCAAATACTGAGATAGTAGTATCATCAAATCATCAGTTGTTTGGCAATCAAGGATTAGATTCTTTTTTTCCCTCACACACTATATAGGCATCTCTACATAACTTTCTTTCTTTCTTTCTTCTGGTTGGTTCTCTTTTACCAGACAGCCATCACCTTGTTGATGGATTGCTGCATAATATACAGTAACTCCTTTTTCATCCTTCTCTAACCCAAAGATTATTCCTTGTTCTTTTCTTGTGTTTTGGTCTTGATAATAATATGCATTTTGCCTCATCTGATGCCAAACACAAAGCTCAAGTGGAGATGTTTGTTTACTTTTTAGGGGGGTGAGTGGTTGGATTGAAGAAAAAAGATGCTAGATCTTTTCTAATGACACAATTGTAGCTTCGCTTCTTAGGTGGGATCCATTGCCAGGACTCGATCTTAAGAGCAACCTCAATTGTAACAAAAAAAAAAAAAAAAAATACTCATTAACACGCTTAGTTAGAGCGTGCAGTGCTCGAAATGCACAAATTACAATGTACAAATTACGCGTGATTTCATTCATTTCTGGGGCTCAAGAAGGAAAATTGAGAAAAAAAACCCTCCTCCCATTAGCACAAAAACCCACCCAAAGTTTTTTGTTTTGAAAAAAACTCCAAAAAAATTACTTGTGTAGTTGTTCTAAGCCCTCACCCTCAATCTGTCACCTGAGTTACCCGTAATGTTTTAGATGGGTTACAACTTGCAAAATAAGTACTATATTAAGAAGGTCCCATCATTAAAGGAACAATCAACAAATACACAGATTCATTATCTTGAAAATCATCTTCAGAAACTTTTTAGAGTTAATACCCAAAATGGTCCCTCGACTATGCCATAATTACCAATTTGGTCCTCAACTACCATTCTTACCCAATTAAGTCCTCAACTATGTAACTTTTACTCAATTAAGTCCTCAACTATACAATTCTTACCCAATTTAGTCCTCAACTATACAATTCTTACCCAATTTAGTCCTCAACTATACAATTCTTACCTAATTTAGTCCTCTGTATCAATTTGACTGTTTGTTGACTGTCAAAAGTCGGGATAAAATTATAATTTTACAAGATTTCTCCTTCATCTCCATTTAGCAGCGCCAAACCATGCAGCAATACACTCCGATCAGATTTCGATCGTCAAAAAATAGTTGGAAATCAAATTCATGGGCTATCCGATGCACAACCACTACTTCGATACTGACAGGTTTAGAACCCAACCGGAGCTTATTGCTACATGGTTTGGCGCTGCTAAATGAGGAGGAAGGAGAAAACTTGTAAAATTACAACTTTATTTCCACTTTTAACAGTCAACAAACAGTCAAATTGACAAATGACTAAATTGGGTAAAAATTGTCTAGTTGAGGACTTAATTGGGTAAGAATGATAGTCGATGACCAAATTGGTAATTACGACATAGTCGATGGACTATTTTGGGTATTAACTCAACTTTTTATTAGCCTTAAAAGTGAAACTCCACCAATCATGGCAAATTATGCTGTGCATCCGTATGCACTGTAGACACAGAAAATTTGAATCCAACAAATGGACTGATAAATGTTTATTGGACCGACATCGGGATTGATTATTGGGCAAATTTAATTAATTGGATCATATAAATTAATTTAATTTAATTAGTCCAATTAAAATTTGATTTGGGCCATTGAATTAATTAATTAATTGGCCCAAGCCCATTTCATATTTGAATTTAAATTATAATTATAATTTAAATATAATATTAATTTTATTATATTTGAATTAGATAATTATAATTTAATTTGAATTTGAATTAGATTATACAATAATGAACCTGGACTTGATCTTGGACAAGGTTCATTTTCCTAATTAATTAATTAATTAATTAATTAGTTAACTAAAAAGGGGGGTTGGTTGAGGAATTTTGGTTAAGCTTTTAGTATAAATAGGGTCTTCATTTTCATTCCAAAACACACTTAAAAGCTTGAAGAACTTGAAGGGTTAGAGCTTGAAGGCATTGAACAACTTGAAGACTTAAGGAGTTGAGAGCATTTGAAGAATTTGAAGGCATTGAAGAACGCTTGAAGATTTGAAGGCATTTTTGTTGATTTTGCAGGCAATTTGAATCCATTGCAGGTACTTTGGAGCTTTGCAGAATCGATTGTCTCGAAGATCTTGAAGTCTTTTGAAAGCATTTGAGGACCTTAAGGCAGCTTGAATCCATTGCATGTGTTTTGAAACTTTGCAGGGTTGATTGCTTCTAAATTCTTGACGCTCGTTGTTGGAAGTCACGCCAATTGAATCCCGAAAGCTACGCCACTTAAATCCCGGAGGCACGTGCCACTTAAATCCCGGAGGCTACGCTATTTGAATCCCGGAGGCTACGCTATTTGAATCCCGGAGGCACTTTCATAGATAACGTCAGTGAAGAATCAGAGGACTAGATAGAGATTTTGTACCTGCATTGAATTATACACACGTTGTACACGAAATTTTGTGAATATATACAAAGTTTACTTTTTTGTGTTTACATGTACCATGCACGACGTCATTTTATTAAAAACGCGCGTCTCCCCTTTAAAAAAAAAAATTCAGGTTCGATTCTCAGCAACAACATATGAACTATAATTCCATAATCGATGAACTATAATTCCATAATCGATGAACTATAATTCCATAATCTAATCTATGAACTAAAATTTCAGAATCGATGAACTACAATTCCAGAATTAATGAACTAAAATTCCATAATCTATGAACTAAAATTCCAGAATGAATGAACAACATAATGTTGTTGCTGAGAATCGAACCTGAATTTTTTTTTTAAAGGGAGACGCGTATTTTTAATAAAACGACGTCGTTTTTGCATCCGTATGCACCATGGTGCATACGGATGCACAGCATAACTACTCACCAATCATCTGGTGCAGTAGTATCTTTGTTCAACCACCACTTTATGTTGCTGCTTTTGATTGTTCCACTAGCACCATTATGCTATGGTGGAACCTTATAAAAAGATGACAACTTGATATAAAAGCCTAAATGAACGAAACACATCATTCAATTTAGTATTAGAACCAGCCAACCAAAGGACAAGTCCTTTGTTTGAATCTCCACACTACCCGAGTTGCATAAAATATCAGGCTTGCAAAATCATATCAATATTTCTCCCAAGTACACTGTCGCTACATGCCAGATATTAAGCAAATATAGATACACTGCAATTAACAAACAGTAGTTCTCTGTTCATCACAGTTTCAACAGGCCAGTACAGACTTAACATGCTTGCCTAACTTCTGAAACTGATGAAGACTTGGATCTTAAAATGTTTCGAGGCAAAATTTCAAAAATATTTTCACTAGAGTAAATATAAACTAGAATACATCTAAAGTTCTAAACCATAAGACTAAGACCAACAAATTGCAAATTTGGTAACCTTGCAATTGCTTGCAGTTCCAAGTGCCACACTCATGAATTTCATAAGAAAATACACATCAGAAACCAAGCCTCATCTCCGACTGTGGATAAAACAACACATCATGCCCAACTAGACACAGTTTTAAAACCTTCATTTTTATAATGAATCGAGCCTTATTCGTATTTTCCAATATTTTAGGCAAAGCGTGATTTTCAGCTGCTTAATAAATATAACTGTGCCTCCGGTTCTTGCTATTAATGGTCCACAGCAATAGATTCCTGCACCACAGTCCTCTGTCCTTGACCATCAAAACAAGATTCATCGTTTTCCTTTGGCTCGACAATGGTTGCCTCCTGTTTCTGAACATCAGTTCCGGTTTCATTGGTCTCCTTAAATGTGCTATTTTGATGAGATGCAGCTTCGGTAATTGGAGGAGAAGCAACATCAATGGCCTCCTTGGACAGGCTCGTCTTGCTATTGAAAGATTTCTTTGTTTCACTGGTTAAGTTGGTATTCTGAGATGGCAACTTAGGAAGGGACTTCCGTTGAGTCCTTTTAGCATTAACAAGAGAAAGTCCCTTGGCAGGACTATCCCGGGGCCCTTTTTCATCTAAGCTCAACCTACTAGGGCGTGTGCTGTTGTCATTGTTCTCTTCCCTACTAGGAGACCCTTTTTTCCGACCAAGCTTGGGAGATTTGGGTCTTGTAGGAGGAATCTGGATCAGAGTGAGATAGCCCAATAAGGCACTAAAGCTACTAATTCATGTGTCTTATAGAATATGGAGTATCTCAATAGCAGTGCACAAATATTTTGCATGAAGCTTCTCAATTGGACATAGTAAAAAAGAAAACATAAACCTCACAAACTGTTACCAGAAAACTCTAAAATAATCTTTTAAGTACACTTATATATAATTACTAGTATAATTTCTGCAATCAATAATACGCAAGCTTATTCCAGATTAGCATCTTCATTATTGGCTTGCTTCATAAACACTACGGTACTCTCAGAAACTCTTACGATGGGAAATGATAGCAACTCAAAGCGGAAATAGATGCTAAACACTAAGCAATTGACCTACGAATCTAAGTGACATGGCAAAAGACATGAAAGATTGTACGTCATTTAACATCAATAATAGAAATCGGCCAGTCGTGCAAAAAGACTCAAAAACCTTAAAATATCATACACACTACTATATTCATTAATGATTGTACGTTTATATTATAAGACCATTGGTTCAAGCAAGATAAACCGTTTTCATTTTACCAACAAATATCAGCTCATATAAGTCACTGAAGCCTTAACATTAAGTTGCATACAGATCCTAAAGCATGTTTGATTAGTTACATAAGGAAGAGCTAAACTAAGGTCCAATAAGAATCCTCATCATATATGGCATATACCGCTTTTTAGAATTGACAGTCTGGGATTCAAAGGCACACAAAAAATATGCATGTTCAAGAAGGGCATACAACTAATATGATTCTAAGCAATTAACACCCAGCTAGTTAACATATTGAAGTTCCAATTTTAGTCTGGCACATCCACAAGGAGACAAAACAAATAAATATGTGCTTTCATCACTGATAGAATGGAAAATTGCTACCTTTTTCAGCTCCACCTTCGGAGGTGGAGGTTCCTGATAGAAGCTTGGCATTGGAGTTGCTTTGAATGATAAGGTCTTTCTAAACATTTTGATCTCAGCTTCTCGTGTTTCCTGTTCCAACAATTTAAAGGAATATCATGATCACACCTTGAAAACTCAACACATCTTCTCCTAGCAATTTGTGTTATCTTTGAATGTTAAGGTCTTTCCTATTGCATGGAACTTTCCCAATACACCATTTTTTTGGTCTGACCATGAGGTGTCCTGAGCAGGCCCTAACTGTAGGAGACACCTTTAAGCCCATACCATACTCAGACTAATCCCCATTCGCACCGGGCCAACCCAAATAAGGAGCAAAGTGCTGGCTAGGAGGTCAGATTGGTTTTTCCATACGAGAGGGGGTTCGGAGTCCCGACCTCTCTTAAGGGATAAGATTGCACGGCCATTCACGCCAACCAAGCTGGTTTTTCTCAATACACCGTTGATACATCATGCATGTATTTTAATATAAAAGTTATAAAACTAAAATATCTAATACACATGTCAGCATATGTGACGCTTCTCAGTGAGTTTCTTTTTTTTTTTTTTTTGGAAATCAACCATTGAACCATGTAAATCCAATTCCCTCACAATTAAGTATTTACAAGCTTTGATTTTGCAAAATGAAAACGGGTGAAACTAATATCAAAAGTTCAATCCCAGGTTAGTTACTTTGCAGCTTCATGTGTGACTATAAAGGGCACACAATGCATGATTACTATTAATGCTTTAAATTTATTTTATCATGAAACTTAATTTGTATTAGCTTGATGCAATGCCATAATGCTTTCATATTAAAAAGAGTATTGTGCTACATTATTGACTATGGAGTAAATATGCTAGAGAGTATAACATTATGTGTAATGTTTTTTATATTTGATATTATTTATTTAACATCATAGCCATGTTGTGACCTAAACTCTTGAGATTTGACGTGTCCCATGTCGTATTTGTCACCATGTCAATGTTCGTCCAACATACGACCAAGCACCTCAATCCCAACACAATAGATATGATATAGATTTGTGCATAAAATACCTTAGACTTAGCTTGCAAATTATTCTGCTCCATTTCCTTTGCATGGATCTTTTCCTCGAGTTTAGAGTAGAACTGTTAAGAAAGAACAGAAGAAAATTAGCTTAAGCTAACAAACAGAGCTCAGAACTGAAGTATTCCATGAAAGACGATAGCTAACCTCTTTCCTTTTCTCGGCCCTTTCGTCACACTTGAAACTGAAACCATATCTTGGAAGTGCACCCACTCTATGCGACTTGGCATCTGCAGCAGTAGGACTTCTGAAAATTGCTTAAGGATAAACCAAACCAAGGTTAGAGGTACTAAATACTACTAAAAATAACCTTCATAAGGAAATATATATATATATATATATATATATATATATATATATATATATATATATATATATTAATGCAGGTAGGATACACAGAAGATTCGGCTGGAACTTCAGCTTTATTTGGAGGGTCTGTCTTCAGTGGCTTCACTTTAGGTTTTTCCCTGAAGTCAGGAAATTACAGTTCACAAACTGCTAGGAGAAAACGTTATTACCAATAGATAACAATCATAACATAAAATTCAATAGCATGTTAAGTAAATGAAGTAAAAGTTGAAATATATGGAGAGACATCTATGAAGGAACTTGTACTCTGACAAAAATGCCACACATGAGGTTAACAGAATTTGAGCTCCATGAAGAAGAGAAAGCAACTACTAGAGCAAATAGCACTTACTCAAGGCCTTCGGGCTGTGCATCACTTGGGGAAGATGTTTTATCAGTCTGCTGATAACCAACAGAAAATTTGATTATATAACCCACAGATAGTTACATTCAAGTAACCTGTAAAAACTGGGGAGCAAAACAAACAAAAGGAAAAGGAAAAAGGAAGATAAACATCCAAGCAAATTAAACACGCCTCTGAACAAATATTGGCATTGACTTTACCTTAGAATGATTAGCCTTCGCGATAGAAGGTGCTGGCTTAGGATTTCTCTCAATAGCTTTCCTCTCATTAAATGATTTGCTCTTTGCACTGAGAGCAGTAGGTTGTTTCGACAGTGGTTCTGAAGTGATGGTCCCATTCGAAATAACAGAGCTAGATAAACCGTGTTTTCCATCGTTGCCTTTCTTTAGTCCAGAACCCACAGTATGTCCAGTGCTTGAAGGCTTCCCATTTTTGAGCTTTCCAGGAGCTTTCTGTGGTTTTTCACTCTTGTGCTCTGCAGAATTTTTAACTTTGGATTCCTAGAAGTAAATAACTTTCACACGTTATGAGTCTGAACAAACAAGATTAGTAATTGAAACAGCAGCTATCCAAATCCCGTCTACCTTAGAACCAGCACTGCCATTGCTATATAGAGGCATTGTTGGTTTATCTCCAACCTCTTGGATAGAAGTTTCAACAGCTTCATCGTCCTTCAAAATCACAGCACTCTCAAAGTCCCCTTGCACTTCATCAATAGTGGTACTGCCATTGGGTATCCAATCAGACTTGTCAACCGTAACTTCTTCCCCAGCAGTTGGAAGTTCTTGCCGAACTCCATTTTCACAGCCCACCACATTCTCAAATAGAGGTATGTCAGTGTCTGTATCCGTCATGCTTTGCAAGTTGCAAAGTTGCAACCACTAAACTACAACCCTGATAAAGAAACACCCCAGACACAAAAGAAATTAGAGGAGAATACTTTCAGAAGTATACACAACCAGTGCCTAATATGCATTCTTCCCGTTTCTCTGAAACACTTAACCATGGAAATCTCAAGGCATTACGAATTCTTCAATTTTTTTTTTATCAATTCATTCCCTTTTTATAAGTAAGGTGTTGGTTAATAAATGAAAGCAATAAGAAAATGCAGGAATACAATGAAAAATCAAAATCAAGAAGCAAGGATACAACTATTTCGTCCTAAGTTGTAACATAACTTGTACTATTAAATTGCCACATACCAAAACCTCAAAATCAAAGGACAATTTTGAGGAAACACATTATATTCCGCTACACTAGATCTTCAAACCCAACAACGAACTCCAAATCCGAAAGCTCATTCTCCATTTTCGTTACACATAGATAAGCATACAGATATATGCATATAAACTTACTAGTATAGAGACATATTCATCAATACATAATGAAGTAACCGGCTTTGAAACACAATGGGCTTACCTAGAACCATAAAACAATCACAAAGACAATGAATCAACCATGGATCTGAGAGGTTCTAGATAGAGAAAGTATTGCAGTGGGGGGGAGGCTGAATTTGTTGCCGAGAAACTGGAAATTTGAAAGCCCAGAAGAGAATTAGAAATGGGTTCTTTGGTGTTCTTCTATGAACTTTCTTCTCTTTTTCCTTGAGATTTATGGACCTACAGTTGAAATGGATGAGGAGCTCACTTTCTCTCTCTCTCTCTCTCTGTGTAAGAACTCTCACTCTTTCTCTCACTAGATTCAACCTAGATACCAAAACAGGGTTTTGGCTGTTTGGTATTTTATGAATAATTAAATTTTTTTCAATTTTCTTGTTGGTTTTTTTTTTTTTTTTGCTCTTTTTGTTCATTTGCCAGCGCTGTTCAAATCCATTCCAGGTCACTGTCCTGAGAGAGTGAGAAAGAGAGAATCTAGTCATCTACTTTCTATTCATTTTTGTCTGATACAACAGTTATAGCATTTTATTACTAATTTTTTTAATTTTGCATATTTCCTTCTCCCAAAAAGATTGAATCACCGATCCCAGAGCTTTCCAAATCTAAATCCGACATATGTAAATTACAGTGACTTAATGGTTTAACAGATATAGCCAAATGTCAGTGGACATAATCTCTACACTGTCACCGTCGAAGTTCAAACATTAATCTCTTCTCTTAAATATTGTCTACTGAACCATTGAGTTAAGCCCCATTTTTATTTTAATTTGCATACTTGATTATAAATATTCTTCAAACATTAAAAGAATTATTAATATCCAAGTCATTAATATTTTCTAAGTTTGAATTTTGAATCATATGCAATAATTTAAATGGCTTATATTTTTTAACTAATTCAATATATTATGTCTATTTGCCTTTGAGGACTTGAGGTCCCAGCCTGCATAAAGAATTAGTCCTTAATGAGTGATCTTAGTTTATTGCCTAGAGAAACATATAGTCATTTATTTAAACGCCAAAAAGACTTTCAATTGGAAAAGGTAAAGGATGTTATTTATTTAAAATAATAAGGATAAAGATAAAAAATAAAAAATAAAAATTACTAGTTTATTTATTAAATGCTACATAGGATAGTGTTTCAAAATAACTTATTATTTTAAGTTACTAGTTTATTTTTGGAACATTACCAAACAAAAGCTTATAGCTTATTAGTAACTTAAAATGAGTTATAAACTCTTAAATAAGCTCTGCCAAACAAAGTCATGATTTCACCCAACTCCTAATATTCAACCAGACAAAGAGTGTATGATAAAAGACATTGCAATAGTGTCAAAAGAACGTCACAAATCACATCGGAATAGTGGAGGATGTACGTCTTAATTATCAAATGGCTATTTGTAATGTGCAAGTTATAAATAAATGAATGAAACTTAGCTTGAATGCAAACATCTTGACTCAACTGCTAAATACCTAGTACCCTCTTAGCGTGATTGAACATTGTAATAGTTAAAACTCTTTGCAATAATCAATTTTCGTTATTTCCTCACAAATTAATTATGAAAATTTTGATCCAATTATCTATTTGCTCAGCACAACTGTGAATTCAACATTGCTTAGCTTTTACAATGAATATTGCTTAGCTTACCAGATAGTAAAACATATAATCATGTTTTTAGGGTCTTTTTCAATGAAAATTAAGAATTATTTAAAGATGTTACATAGTATATTGTCCCAATCGTGAATCAGGTGTTTAATTATTTCTTATTGTTTATTATTTCTTCTTATGTAATACGGGACTAGAGTGAAGGCCATATTATTTATATCAATCTATTATTTGGATTGAAATATTGTGGTGTACTGTCAACCTTAATCCTTCATGTCAAAGTAACATGGACTAATTGTTTTAAAATTAAATTTTGTATCAATTTATATAGTTTCATGTGACTGAATTGTGCTTACGTCGCTCAATTTATGAGCAAAAAATATAAATAAATAAATAAATATATATATATATATATATATATATATATATATATATAATAGTTCAAATGAGAACTAGGGTTCTCGTGAGAACGTTCGAACTAATATCATTCGTCTATCTAAAACGATCAATGGTTGAAAATTAATGAAAAAATATTGTGGCATTCTTGTACTTATGATTGTGCATTTGAAACACTTGATAATGGATTTGGAAAAGAGTTTTCAAATGGACTATCAGTTATCCGCAAATGCATTGTTAGTCGTTTCTGAATAATATAAACAATCACGTACAATTATAGAAATATAACATCGTATTTTTTTTAATTTTCAGTCATTGATCATCTTAGATGAATGGATGAGATTAGTTTATGCCTTCTCATGGAAAGTCTAGTTCTAATTAGAGTTAGACCACACAAACATACACACACACACACACATATAGGGTGATGTTCCTATGGGAACTCTTCCTCACATGAGAACATGAGGATTAAAAATGTAGGAAATTGTATATTATGAACGGTAATTACAATGTACATGTAAGGGGAATATATATATATATATATATATATATATATATATATATATATATATATATATATATATATATATATACATACATACATGAGGAATCACAGGGCCAATGGAAGGGGATTAGGATTGCAAGAAATGGTCCTCATTTATCTCACCTATTTTTTACAGATGACTTAGTACTCTTCGGAGAAGCCACGATTGAACAAGCGAGTGAAATGAAGCATTGACTTGATTTATTCTGTTCGAGTTTTAGGCAAAGAGTTATCTCCATAAATCCACGGTGTTTTTATCAAAGAATACAACTACGCACCTGCAGCAAGATATCGTAGTGGCCACTGGTATATCCCAAGTGTACTAGACTTGGGCAAATACCTTGGCATTGCGTCAATACATGGAAGATTGAAGAATGACTCGTTTACGGGCATTATAGAGAAAACCAAAGCTAAGCTAGCTGGGTGGAAGTCCAAGACCCTCACACTTGCAGCCAGGCGTGTCTTGGTTCATACAATTTTATCATCCATAGTGACGGATATATTGGGAATCGACCCGAGGGCGCGAAGCAAGAACGGGTCCCGGGGCAGCGCCACGTACCCGCCCCGGCCGAAGCCTCGCCACGTGGCCCCCGCACGGGCCATGTTGGAGGCCGGGACTGCCTCTCCAGGAGGCCGGGCCGGCCTCTCCAGGAGGCCTGGCCGGCCTCTCCAGGAGGCTTGGCCTGCCTCTCCAGGAGGCCGGGCCGACCTCCACATGGGCCCCGCCTGGGCCCATGATGAGCTCGGCCTGGCCCCCGCAACGCTGCCCGGTCGCGAGACTGGGCGCGGTCAACTCCAGATCCAACTACCCCCCGTTTTAGGGGGAGGCGGTTGGGGGCTTAGCTTGTATAAAAGCCTCCCTCCTTGTCCTAACAAGGGACATGCTATCTACGATCTACATTTCCTACATACTTTGTTCTAAAATACCACTGTAATAGCCAATTCTACGGCATTTAATACAATCTACGGTCTCACGGCCTTTGCTATATCATTCGTATCATTTATTTACTATTCGTATTCTTATTCGGGTTAGTTAAGTCGGACCCCCGGTTTAATTAATTCCATCATTGGTGCTCTTGTTGAGAGCTGCTGTACAAGCTTAAGCGCTCTCCCCACTATTGTTCATCCACAACAATGGCACGATCGAGATCCAGCTCTTGTCATACCAATGGTTCCCGCGGCACCCAGCTCGTCACGAATGGGAACGGCCCCAACGGGGCCCCCGCCCCCAGCATCCAACCGGCCGCCTCCACCAGGTCGGGGGAAGATCTGAGGGCCCAGCTCACCAACCACCGTAGCAGTGGTGCATCGCCACCACCCCCTGTCGCCCCCGCTCCGGCTCGCGCGCTCATCCAGGAGGGGGTGGCGGTCTTCGAACAAGCCTCCACGGCGCTGGCGCGCGTCGCGACGGGCCTTCGGGCAGAGGAACAAGCCGACCTAGGCGCCACCCGAGGGGCGCCGGCGTCACCTCCACCTCCTCCCACCCGGGGGCGCAACGGTCCAAGCACCCGGCCACCCCAGGCACCTATCACCCAGGGGGAGGTCAACTCGCCTCGACCATCGGAGAAGCGGGGAGGAGGGGACTCCCGCTGAGGCCGCCAGCGCGACGGCGATGGAAGGGCACCAACCCAAATCAGGCCCGCCCTGGAGAGGTTGGGCGATAACATGTCGGCCCGGGACATGCTGGGTCCGAGGCCAGCCAACGGTTCCCGCGGCACCCAGCTCGTCGCGAACGGGAACGGTCCCAACGGGGCCCCCGCCCCCAGCATCCAACCGGCCGCCTCCACCAGGTCGGGGGAGGATCTGAGGGCCCAGCTCACCAACCACCGTGGCAGTGGGGCACCGTCACCACCCCTGTCGCCCCCGCTCCGGCTCGCGCACTCATCCAGGAAGGGGTGGCGGTCTTCGAACAAGCCTCCACGGCGCTGGAGCGCGTCGCGGCGGGCCTTCGGGCAGAGGAACAAGCCGACCTAGGCGCCACCCGAGGGGCGCCGACGTCACCTCCACCTCCTCCCACCCGGGGGCGTAGCGGTCTAAGCACCCGGCCACCCCAGGCACCTATCACCCAGGGGGAGGTCAACTCGCCTCGACCATCGGAGAGGCTGGGAGGAGGGGACTCCCACCGAGGCCGCCAGCGCGACGGCGAAGGAAGGGCACCAACCCAAACCAGGCCCGCCTTGGAGAGGTTGGGCGATCACGTGTCGGCCTGGGACAGGCTGGGTCCGAGGCCAGCAAACGGGCCACCGGCGGAGGAATCATGCTCCCGCCGGCCACTGCGACAAGAATCGGCCACTTGGAGGTCGCCCGAGCCATGGGCCACGCGCCCAACCGCGACACAAGGCAGCTTCGCGTGGGTCCGCAGGGCGGGTCCCCCGACCCCACCCGCGACGTGAGCAGGCCTCCCGGGTTGAACGATCAGGTGAAACGAATGGTAGAGCTCCGAGCTCCCATCGGGTAGAGGTCGAGCAGCTGCTGAGGAGGATGGACGAGCTCCAGAAGAAGATCGATGAGAGGGACGGATCTCCAGAGCCCCAGGATATGTTGCCCTCCCCGTTCGCAAACGCCATCATGGAGGCGCCCTTACCTCGAGATTTTTGCTTTCCCACCATTAAAGCGTACTCGGGGACCACGGACCCGCGGGCACACCTGACCAGGTACAGGGCCACCATGATGATCACCGAGGCAACAGACGCCATCCTATGTAGGGGGTTCTTCGCCACCCTGGACGGGCAAGCGCATAATTGGTTCGGATCCCTCCCGGCGGGGTCCATCTCCACCTTTGCGGACCTCACCTGGCAGTTCC